TCATGAAGGAAAGGTAATGTCATTGACCTCTATGTTAGAATAAGTGAGTGAGTTGTGACTAATGTGTGGTACTTGTGAGTCAAATCTTGAGGCGAAGATGTTACACTTTTGTGCTTAGTATATTTTAAAGATTCTTGGTGTGATGAGTTAGGAAAAGAGTTTAAAAAGGTCGTATCTATATAAAGTATAGTTTGATTGCTCGAGGACGAGCAACGTTTAAGTGTGGGTAGTGATGTTTGGTTATAATTACATATTTTTAGTGCATTACTTATCTTGCATTTTGGGGCTTTAATGCTAAATCATACTATATTTGTACTTAATTGAGTCTATTTTATGTGTAGGTATGTTGAAGACGAAATTGGGAGTAAAGTAGAGATTTTATATTTATTTTATACACTACAATAATAGAGTTATGATTATTTAATTATTGGATATATAAGGATTAAAAGTTTAACATTATAAAGGAAAGCAAAATAAAGAAGAGAAACAATTTGAAAAAGAAATGGAGTTAGGCAGCTAGCAATAACTCTATGAGAAATCAGAAAATGAGAATTGAATTAAAGAATGAGCGACGCAAGCTTTGCTGCTCGCTGTGGAGGTCGCGTCGCACAGTGTGTAGCAGAGGTGGACCGTGCGTTTTACCTCACGAGCCGAGGCTTGTAGCGAGCGAGTTTCGAATTTTTAAAGCCTATTTTATCTCCTATTTGGTTTGGACTTGATTATTTCGTTTAGGTCTTTTCCCTACACATACAAATAGTCATTAAACGTTATTTTTAGGATAGTTTTGCGACCGGAAGCAAGAACATCAGGCTTGGAGGAGACTGCTAACTAGTTTTTCTTCTCTTCTTTTCTTTTAATCTCATAGTTTATTAGTTCTAGAGTTGTTGGGTGCTACATGAACGTTGTAGTTTGAAGCATGAATTGTTCTTATTATTTTATAATATTGGTTTATTTATTCAATCTAGCGCTTAATTATTTGATTATTTGATCACCAATTTAATACTATCTACGAATCTAGGATTGAACTCGGGAGAGAGAATTCTAGATTGCATATAAGATTGAGTAGAGCAAGATCTTAACTCTGAGGGGGGAGGGGGGCGGATTTGCAGTTAGGATAGGAATATACCTAATCGCCTTGCTTGGTTACTATACAGGAATTATTAATGTGTTCTTGTTAAACCTAATTCCATAGTAATATAGGCGTTAGATTAGCTTGAATATGCGAGCAGTACTTCGAGAGAAAGCTACGAGCAATATTAACCCTGTCAACCAATAAACCAGATAAATTAACTAGACAATTTAAGTGAAAAACTCAACGGGATTGTTAGCTAACCCATAGCTCTAGAATATTCACTCACACTGAATTCGTCTTTAAGCTTGTCGTTGTTTTCTTTAATCTCTTAATTTTTTACTCTAGATTAATTTTAGTTAAATATTTATACGTTAGGATTTGCTTGAATAGATTAAATATTTGGTTTAATTTAGTTGATAATTAATCACAAGTCCTGTGGGTACGATATCTGGACTTACAATCCTACATTACTTGTCGACCACGTATACTTGCGTGTTCCTTTGGGAGTAATAAGTTTGTCATATTCCGAGTAGTCATAAGTATTCGGCTTCCAATGTTCTAGTCTGGGAAACATAGTTTTATATCATCCCAAGCTCCTGAAGTCCATATGTCATCAATGACTATCAAGTACCTCCTGCCTTTTAGAAGCTTCTGCAGTTGGTCGGCTACTTTTCCATCATCTTGCTCATAAAATTCATGCGTCTTTCCACTTATAGAAGAAAGAAGGCCTAGAATTACATTTCTCGCATGATACTCTTGTGATACAGTAGCTTTTGCACTAACGTCAAAGTGAGACATAATGAATAGATCATTGTAGATTTTGTTAGCCAAAGTTGTCTTGCCTAGACCCCATCCCTACAATTGAGACAACTTCTAATTCACTTGCTCCTCTAGCAAGTTGATCCTGCATCATCTCGACTCCAAGTCATGTTGAAATGCTCTGGCGAGGGTCATATTTTCCACTTCTAGACCTTTGCTCTACATCACCATCCACTTGTTCATCGCAAAATCAATGTGTCCAACCGCGAAGTTCCCAAAAATCTATTCTTTGTGTAACTGCACTTTCTGCTAAGGAAACTTTTCTTGATTCGGAGTCAACCATAAGTTCTATGCTACATGCAAGCTCTATGATTTCAGCTCCCAAGCTTGTCAATGCCTCAAGGAAACTTGAAGAGTAAGTCCGATACATTCCATAGATTGCTTGATGGTGCTCATAAGAGAAGTAATAGCAGCATAAGCCATGACCCTTTTAATCCTCGTATGTTTTGATGCTTTTGAGAATTTTTTTATCAGTAAACAAAAAGAGCAAAGTCCCTCTTTTTCCTAACTTAATTAGAAAAAAGACAGTTTCTATCAAAACATATTGCTTAGGGAAGAAAAGAGGTAAACTTGGAAACCCGTTGTTCACACTACAAGTGGTCTTGACTTTAGAAACTACAAGACATTGGTGTCCAGCACTCTTTTATTTGACTTCTGAGTTTCTTGAACACGATTTTGCCTTTCTCTTCCTTTTTTTCCTTTTCTTAAATGCTGAATCTTATATTTGTATGGCCCTCCCTTAAAATGATATCTTCAAAGTTGGAAATATTTTGGAAGTGTTGCGATTGGAAATTTTTACCGTGATTAAGAAGCAGCAGAACGCTTCACTTCTCCACAATTTCTAATTTTGTAATCAGACAATTAGCGGAAAAAGGTGACTCGATATATATACTTCTTCAATGTAGGATCTCAAGCTTACACAGGCAAGTATTCTAGTCAGAAGCGAATACAGTATTTATGTTTAATGAGTTCGTGTTGGGATAAACTATTAACCATGCGGTTTAGACATAGTATTTTGTTTTATTCTTTATAGAATAATTGTTTATTTAATTTATTCAATTCAATAAAGTACTATTTTAAATAGATCATTTGTTACATGTGTGTTCTTTTAGTTATGTAATAGATAATTTAGTGTATGGAGTCTTAGTTCATGCACAAAAGATTAAATTGTCGGTTCACATAATTAATAAACTATGTTCACAATCAAAGATATTATTGGACAAAATATCTTGATGATTGTAGCACAAGACTATGGTATAATTTGTCTTGATTATGGGAGTGGTTTTACTCCGACTTCTTGTGCTAGTATGCTTAGTGTATATTGAACGGACCAAGTAGAGAAAAGATGTTTTTGTACTGAATATATATAAAATATTTTATCTAATTCATCAAATGAGCTTATACTCCTAACCTTGATATAATTATTATGATCAATGTAATTTGTTTATTGTTTTGATTTATCAAAAGGTACGACTCTATTCAGAGTTAGTGTATGCGTATTAGATTGGACAATAACGAATAACATTTGTAAAATAATAATTAGTTGATAGAATCCATGACTTGGTTTTGAGTTTGACGATACCCCTTTATGTGAGCTTATAAGTTTTCATGTAAAAACCCGGTCGGTAGATTTTGTATCCGTCACATGAAATGGTTTAAGCGGAATTATAAAGGATTTAATTAGTTGATTAAATTAAATTTTCAGTAATTTAATTTAATTAACTGGTATTTGAGATCTTAACATGGGGAGTTAAAATAAGTGTTACTGTGGTCCCTGCTAATTAATTATAGTAAGAATTAATTCATGCTAATTTTGAATTAATGTTATAATGCCTCTTATTATTTCTGTGGTCCCTGCTATACCTAGTAAAAACCTGAACTTAACTTGGGTAAAAAGTGACTTGGAAGAAAAGTCATCCGGTAGAGTTAGAGTAAGATTCTACTTGTGCAAGTCAAATCCTACACGTTTTTGGAGCTAATTTTCGAACAAAAACTAGTCTACTTAAGGAAGACTAATTTCACTCAATAACTCACTTTTTAGAGTTGTATTGTTCTTGCCCACTCAAAGTAAATTCGTCCAAGGTTTTACTAGGCATATAGCAGAAGATTGCAGCCCTGGATTCTAGCTCTGTGGAGGATTTGTGCAACAATTTCAAGAGGTTAGTGCTTCTAATCTAGCAATTATAGCATTGTCTAGTTTACATGTATTTGATACCAGGATTGTTTGCTTGCTTCCGTTGCGCATGTTCTAACAATTGGTATCAGACGTCGTCTTACATCTAACTAGATAATGTAATACAACATGAATAAAGTAATATTAAAACGTGTTGTTTAATGATACATGTTTGGTATGATTATTCTATATCAAAACGTGATTTTATTTATTAGTATTTTAATTCTAAAATTATAAATTAATATACATATCCATAAACAGTGGTGTTATATTTAATGACAATCTGTTTAATTACGTTTTTGATGAATAACAGTGTTGGTTTTAATAAAAATGTGACTGTTTTTTCAGAGTACTATTAAATCTGTAATTATGGATTAATACATATATGCATAAACAGTGGATTAATATTATTAATCTGTTGTAGTTGCGCCTTTTGTCCATAATCACAGTGTTATATTAATAATAACGTGTCTGTTTTGAATGCTATTAGTTCTGAAATTATGGATTAATATACGAATTATGAACAGTAGCGTTTGGAACGGTAAAAAGCATTCCACAATTCTGTTTGAACACGTTTTTATTAAATATAAAAAAAAAAATATTTTGAGTTCTGAAATAATATTTTAACATACAACAGTATATTATGTGATTTGAACCAGTCAAAATAATTAAAACCCTTAAAAACGCCAAAAACAGAATTCTACGAATAGGTCATGAATTTGGAATTCTGAAATTCTGTCGAACTCCGATTGACTTCAAATTTGGTAGGTTCATCGGAAACGGCCCAGTGAGTAATACACATCAGCTTCGCTCATGACATACGTCATATTTTTGGGAATTCGGGGTCGTTTAGATGGATTTTTGGACATTTTTTCTAATTTGAATTTAATTATTCTGAATACATAACTAATGATTTGAATATCTCTCAGATTAACCATGTCTTCATCCAACCCACTTACCTCAATTTTGAACCAAAACAAGTTAGAAGGACAGAATTATGTTGACTGGAAAAGAAACCTTGATATTGTCCTAACTACTAAAGGTTACAAATTTGTAATCACTGATGAGTACCCAGAAAAAGCTGAAATGCTACTGATGATCAGGTTAAGGCCAATGACAAATGGGTCAAGGCTGATGAGATGGCGCGATGTTACATTCTTGCCTCTATGGCGAATGTTTTGCAACATCAGCATCAGTCTATGGGATCTGCTTACGACATGCTCGAAAGTCTCAAAGAGATGTTCAGTGAGCAAAATCGTGCGGCTAACCAGACTGCCATGAAAGCCCTTTTGAACACCAAGATGGATGAAGGATCATCGGTCATGGACCATGTTCTGAAGATGATGAGTCTTCTGAATGAACTGGAGGTCCTTGGAGCTGTGATTGATAAGGAATCTTAAGTTGAGATGGTCTTACACACTCTGACTGACAGTTTTCAATAATTTCGCTTGAACTAAAACATGAACAAAATGAATTTGTCACTGGCAAAATTGTTGAATGAGTTGCAAACGGCAGAATCTATTATCAAACAGCAAGCTCTAGTTGTGGCACTCAATGTTGAGAAAGCTTTAGTTTCTAAGTCGAAAGGCGGTAAGAAAAAGAAGAAGGCTCAAAAGGTCTTGGCACCTGGAGGTACAGCTGGTGTGAAAAAAACCCAAAGGAAAGTGCTATCATTGCAAGCAACCTGGGCATCACAAAAAGCAATTCCCTTCCTATCTGGCAAAGTTGAATAAGCAAGGTAATTCAAATTTACATGTCGTTGAAACTTGTTTAGCGACTGTCTCTACCATATTTTGGTGTGTAGATTCAGGAGCCACTAATCATATCTGCACTACTTTGCAGGGGTTTCAGAAAATGCGACGTCTAAGTGAGAATGAAATTTGCGTTTTTCAAGACAATGGCGAGCCAGCACCAGCTTTAGCATTAGGAGATATTAGAGTTTCGTTTAGTAGTAATAGAATTTTAGTTTTGAAAGATGTTCTCTATGTACTTTCTATTAGAAGGAATTTGATTTCGGTTTCGAAAATAATGGATGCTGGTTATAATATTTATTTTGCTAATAACTCTGCTGTTATTAAGTTTAATAAACGTTTTATCTACACTGTTGCTAGAGTACATGACCTTTTCATTCTTGATATATCTCCTCCTCATGTGCTACAACAACCAAAAGAATTAAACAACATTAATCTGCCACATAAAAGAAAACGTATTTCTGAATTGAGCCAAACTTATTTATGGCACTTACGTCTAGGTCATATAAATCTAAATAGGATTTCGAGATTGGTCTCTGATGGACCTTTGATTACATTGAAAGTGGAGTCACTGCCAACATGCGAATCCTGTTTAGAAGGTAAAATGACCAAAAGACATTTTCCCTCAAAAGGAAATAGAGCCAGCAATAAGTTAGAATTAATTCACTTTGATTTGTGTGGCCCTATGAATATACAAGCAAGAGGTGGTTTTGAGTATTTTGTGACTTTCACAGATGATTACTCAAAATATGGATACATTTATCTGTTGTGCCGTAAGTCTGAATGCTTTGAGAAATTCAAGGAATTTAAGACGGAAACGGAGAAACGACGTGATAAATATATCAAAACATTGCGATCTGATCGTGGTGGTGAATACCTTTCTGCGGAATTCATTAAATACTTATCAGATTCTAGAATTACATCTTAATTATCTGCTCCAGGAATACCACAATAAAATGGTATAGCAGAAAGAAGAAATGGGACCCTTATGTAAATGGTTAGATCAATGTTAAGTTACTCCGATTTGCCTTCTTCCTTTTGGGGATATGCTTTAGAAACAGCAAATTACATTCTAAATTTGGTTCCTTCAAAGTCAGTACCTTCAACTCCAATAGAATTGTGGACTGGGCCAACCCAAGTTTATGGCACATTCGGGTTTGAGGTTGTCCAGCACATGTGCTGAAAGGGAAAGCGGATAAATTAGAATCGAGGACAAAACTATGAATTTTTATTGGATATCCAAAAGGAATTAAAGACGGTTTATTTTATTGTCCCAAAGAAAAGAAGGTAATTGTTACGACAAATGCCAGATTTTTAGAAGAGGACTATTTAATGAACCATATTCCTAGAAGTAAACTAGTTTTACAGGAATTAAGTAATGGAGTAACTAATGACTCATCTATGGAACGTATCCCGGAAGCCAGTATTGGCATACCACTGCATTATCGTAGTGGGAGAAATGCCAATAGGCAACAGAATGCACAAGAGCAATTGCCTGACATCTCACTACCCCAAAGTAGTGGGAGTAATGTTGAGCAACCTCAAACTGTTGAGCAACCTCAAGTTGTTGAGCAACCTGAAATTGTTCTGCAGCCTGCACTCCAGGAAGAAGTTAATGATATCCTAACACCGCAAGGTATGGAGGATAACATTGACGCTTCAGTTCCGAAAAATGATATTGTAATTCAACAACAAAATACTGCACTTGTAGTGACTAGTAGTAGTGGGAGAATAATAAGAAAACCTCTCCGTTTTGCGCTCTTGGGAGAATCTTATGATAGAATCCCTGAAGAGCCCAATACGGAACCTATTAATTACGACGAAGCACTACAGGATACAGATGCTGATAAATGGGTTGCTGCTATGAAATCTGAAATGGAGTCGATATACTCCAATTAAGTCTGGGATCTTGTAGAACCACCTACTGGAGTCAAACCCATTGGTTGTAGATGGATCTATAAGAAAAAGAGAGGAGTGGATGGAAAAGTGCAAACTTTTAAAGCTAGGCTTGCTGCAAAAGGGTTTACTCAAAAAGAAGGGATCGATTATGAGGAAACCTTTTTGTCAGTAGCCATGCTTAAATCCATTAGGATTCTCTTATCCATTGTCGCTCAATACAATTATGAGATTTGGCAAATGGATGTCAAGATAGCTCATCTAAATGAAAGTCTTGATGGGTGCATGTATATGGCACAACCAGTTAGTTTCATAAAAAGTGACAATGAGCACATGTTGTGTAAATTAAAGAAATCTATTTATGGATTGAAACAATATTCTAGATCATGGAACACTTGTTTTGACGCATCGATTAAAACCTTTGGTTTTGATCAATTAAAAATGAGTCTTGTGTCTATAAGAAGTGGGATGGAGATAAAGTTACATTTTTTTGTTTTGTACGTAAATGATATTTTGCTCATAGGAAATAATGTGAGCATGTTGAATTCAGTAAAAGAATGGTTGTCCTCACGTTTCGATATGAAAGACTTGGGACATGTGGCATATATCCTTGGGATCAAGCTTATGTGAGATCGCAAGCGAAGGATATTAGGCTTATCCCAAGCACTTTATATTGATACTATTCTCACCAGGTTTAGCATGCAAGATTCCAAGAAAGGCTTTCTCCCTTTTCCAAGTAGCCTCTAATTATTTCTGTGGTCCCTGCTATACCTAGTAAAAATCTGGACTTAACTTGGGTAAAAAGTGATTTGGAAGAAAAGTCATCCGGTAGAGTTAGAGTAGGATTCTACTTGTGCAAGTAGAATCCTACACGTTTTTGGAGCTGATTTTCGGCCAAAAACTAGTCTACTTAAGGAAGACTAATTTCACCAAATAACTCACTTTTTAGAGTTGTATTGTTCTTGCCCACTCAAAGCAAATTCGTCCAAGGTTTTACTAGGCATATAGCAGAAGACTGCAGCCCTGGATTCTAGCTGTGTGGAGGATTTGTGCAACAATTTCAAGAGGTTAGTGCTTCTAATATAGCAATTATAGCATTGTCTAGTTTACATGTATTTGATGTCAGGATTGTTTGCTTGCTTCTGTTGCGCATGTTCTAACAGTTCGATCATTAAGGTTTTTAACATTGACTGACTCACTACATTTTTAAAATTAATAGTTCAGAATATTTGTCAAATTAACACACGTATAATCTCTCCGCGTCAGAAATACTAAATTTGGATAAACCCGCTGCTTAAGTGTTTAAATGATTCACGAATAAAAACTGTGGAGAAAAGGAACTTAGATTAACACTGACAAATTTAGGAGCTAAGAAAGCTGCAAAGGAATGCGATACAGAAGGCTGATTATAAATGCTTGAAAGAAATTTATGTTTTGAGCTTCTCTCAAGGTCAGGAATCACAACATGCATTCCACAAGCTTTGAATTTTCCATCAAATCTCAAATGGTGGATGAAAATTGAACTTCTATGTATGAGATCATTTAAACATTTTTCCACCACTTCTTCGATGCTATTCATCTCTCTTACCTTCAAAAAAACCCTTGGTTTCCTATAATTTCAAAAGTCTATTCACAAAAATGAATTTATCATCCTAGAAGATTGCAGAATACAGAAAACATACTTCTAGGTGATGTGGCAAGTGATGGTCACTCAAAGCCAACACTCTCATGCACTGGACATCAAGATCTCTGTTTACTAAAGGAAGTTATATTCTTTGCAATACATTTTTTACTCATCCAATGCTTTATCAATTTTGGGGAGAAATCCAGCAATCACAGCAGTTGCTCTTCTGCCACATTTTAATGCAATATGTTTCCAACTTCTCAAATTCAGGAGAAAAACAATCTTTCTGAATGACCTTTATATGCGGTAAATTCCAATTTTCATTAAAATTCAGGAGACTAAGGAGTCTTACCTAAGCTAACATATTCAGCCATCTCCATATTTCGAGTTAGTCAGGAGTATTCGGCTTCTCTTGTTACACTTCGGGAAACATAGTTTTACATCATCCCAAGCTTTTTTAGTCCATATATCATCAATGACTATCAAGTACCTCTTACCTTTTAGAAGCTTTTGCAGTTGATCAACTAGTTGCCCATCATCTTTCTTCTCATACAATTCATCAGTCTTTGCGCTTATAGGCCTAAGAGTGCATTTCTCACACTGTGAAGTAGTAGCTTTTGCACGAATGTTAAAATGAGACATAATGAGGGGATCACGAATGTCAAACCGTTATATTCTCGGGCTCTAAGGGAAGAGAGAGCTCTCAATGATTCAAGCTTTTTGTAGAACGTTTGCAAGTTAAGATCAGTAGATTGCATTGATTGTTGTATGCAGCTCATTAGGGAAATAATAGCAGCACAGGTCATGTCCCTCTTTCTCTCTTCTTCTTGTAGCCAAAGGCTAATTTCTCTTCATACATAAAGAGGCAGATTTCTCAATTTGATAGTTGTGAATTTCCAAAAGTCCATATTTCTCAAATAATAAACAGACAGAACAAAGTTGCCTTTTTTATATTTTTAACCTTATCAAAAATACAGGATGCTAATAGGGAAAAGGAGAGAAATGTGATCATTATCACATCCTAAAAGTGTCCACTAACTTAACTAATTTCTCAAACAAACAAATAGAAAGACAAACACCAAAGGTATCTCTTTTCTCTTAAATTTGCCAAAAGACGGATGCTAATAGG